ATTTAACATGGCGCTTTCATACATACCGCTTTTAACAACATAAGCCCATGGTTGGTAATGTTCTTCAACAATTGTAGAAGTTCTYGTTACGATCCGACACCATTGAACAAGATTCTTTTGACTGAAAAAATGGGAAAGAAGATGAGATCAATTGCATCATAATGTTTGTAGAAACTAAATACGATAAAAATGAAAGGAAATAGAAGGAAATGGGAAGGAAATAGAATGGAAATAAATGAAATGGAAATGAGAGAGAACACATTAAAATGGGAAGGAAATAGAATAGAAATGGATGAAATGGAACTGAGAGAGAAAACATTGAAATGGAACAAAATAAAACGGAAATGGATGAAATTGAAATACAAATTGAGACGAGAGGAGACACATTATGAAATAAGGGCGTTTTGACGACRTCCTATAATCRTCGAGCAATATTATGACGGAATTTGAAACCATCCTCTAGGATAGCAATACTCAAGTCTACTTACTTTAATCCAGCGCATACTAGTGATTTAAACTGGAATAGAAAACATTACGCATTAGACACTAGAAAAAATCGTTTATCGAGGATATTTTAAGGTGTTTTGACGGCTTACCATTGCATCCATGCTTCGTCTACACGGCTCATGGGTCGTTTTGATTCGATGCAGCGTACGAAGTAGGGTCTACAACGTAAGTATGTGATGTAAATATAAAGCACAAAATTACGTGAAACATAAACTAAACATTAATACGAAATRTAAGTAGCCACTACAGTCCGAAACTATCAACGCTTTTGTCGATTTTTGACAACATTCTGCGGATTTTGGGCTTCCTCTTGCTATCTTCAGYCGTTTCATAATTCATCTATTACGCATGTTTTTGCATAATTTCTAAGCCTATCCCACATGGATCAGAGCTATATCAGAGTATTTTACGGTTGCGCATGCTCGTACAGCCATTTCCCACATGGCTGAGCGACTTACCTGTTTGCTAGTCGTAGCGCCACTACCGTCTAGAGATATACCAAACGCTTCTGATAATTTACTTGCAGGTGTGGAATTATACTCGCGACCATGCTGAACAAATATGAAACACAATATGAGAAATCCATTTTTTTAAGTGAGGGGGGAGGGGAGTGGTTAGGGTGGGATGAGGACCCATTTTTAATCGAATAAAGACAGACATACCTTTAATGAGTAGTAACTATTAAATAATTCCCATATATGCATTCTTTGAGGTAGAGATGTCCGCGTTGTTGGTACTATACAGGCGACGAGAGACTTTGACGATATAAGACGACTGTCAACATTCTACAAACAACAAAAAGATAGTGAATAACAGTCCATTGACAACAACGACAACAACAACAGCAGCAGCAACAACAGCAACAACAACAACAACAGCAGCAATAACAACGACGACAACAACAACAATAGCAACAACAACAACAACAGCAGCAGCAATAACAACAGCAACAACAACAACAATAGCAACAACAACAGCAAAAACAAAAGCAACAACAACAGCAGCAGCAATAGCAACAACAACAACAACAGCAGCAACAACAACAACAACAACAACGACGACAACAACAATAGCAACAACAGCAAAAACAAAAGCAACAACAACAACAGCAGCAAGAACAACAACAACAACAAGACTTCTTACCCTGACTAAACCATGCTGCATAACTTCTTTCAGAGACATGGCCAAATCTTTCCTAACAGCGTTGACAAGCTCTGCATCCCTTGCGTAATTAAACTATTGAGAACATGGTAGATTAGCTACAATCCATTATCGTTATACAGATAGTCCTTACTCAAATAGAAATAGAGCCAAGTGTTCTCTAACAGCAGCGTGCTGTAATTCAAAACAGGGCGTGTGATTTATTTATGCCACTCCGACGAAGGATTAACGTCCGAAACGTCAGTAAGTTATTTCACATACTTTTTTTACGGTGTTAAATTTATCTTTTTACACAACTGTTCATGTAAAATATAGTTGGCAGCTAATGTTATTTAGCGAGATTTTCCAGCATGAATATAATGGTGCAAATCATGTGGCTCACTTACCCGTTCCTCAAGTACAGCGGTATCTACCGAGGAGACAGAGCTGGCACGTGATCTACGTGAGTTTTGTCGACTTAGACTTTTAGCTGAGTCAGGTGAACGTGGGGAACTGGGCTCCGACCAGTCAGAATCTTGCTCTAAAGCGTATTTGATCTGTGCAACGTTCTCGACCGACGATTGTAATTTGGATAGTAATTCACTGCAAGAAATAGTTTTTTGACTTATTAATAAACTAACGATGTATAATATGGACAGTTAGTTATTGGCATGCTAGTATGGGAGGGTCATGATGTTTTTTAATCCACTGGAAGCTGTGGTATACATACAAGTATCCTGGTACAGCRACAGAMGCTGTTTTTCTCATTATTTGGTCTTGTATYTGTTTTCCTGTGCAWCCAAACTGACTGTTGRMAAAATAACAAAAGATACATAAGCTCCATTTATAAGATTTTTTCATATATATTTGGTCATCGCCAATCATGAAGTGTACTTGCGTAGGCTCTTCTTTATATGATTGCCAGGTCAAAAGATTTCGCTAAAAAGATGAGGATTTCAGTGCGTTGTACCTTATAGCGAAGATCTGTAGAATAGAAAGAGCACGTCGTATAACCGCCAGACTTGCATCTCGTATTCTCTGTTTAAAATAGAAAACGATTAATGAAATGAAATGACAGGAAAGAAGAAATATTGTCTAGTGTATATATATGGTAGAGTATTTGACTATTTAGGAAGTATTTGTAGGCAAAGAGCAAAAGAAAACAATCGATTTAGAGTGTGATACCAACTTTTCGTCTAACTAATCTTTCGCACTCAAATGAAAAATACTCTTGCCTATTATAGACATACCACAACATCATTTACTTTAATGATAGAGTGGTTCTCATTAACCCGTGAAATACATTTTAGCGTATTACACTTTATTACACTTTGTTTTCTATTATATTTCTTGGCTATTACACTTTATTACACTTTGACTATTACACTTTGTTTCACGGRTTAATGAGARCCACTCTATATTTATTYTATAAATCGACTTTTCGTTTTGAGTATAAGAACGGTTTTATGTGGCTACTTCACAACCGAATACAATTGATATTATTGCATTGCGCCCTTGATTCAGCAACTATAGACCTCTATCCTTAGAAAGGAGGCCACAGCAACGATATAAGGCTGAAACTATGTACTATTCTATACTAAGATATGCCGCACCTTACTGCGCGCCTGTTCTGGGGTCAAGGGCACGTGGAGGCAACACCCATTTTCGCTATCTTCTGGAGAAAGGTCTAGGGAGTACTCAAAATCGTACCCAAGATCCTTTGGTCTCTCTGTCAGGGAGGAGGTGCTTCGTTTGAAAGTCGGAGCGGCTGTGTTATTGTAGGGCTGATTGTGCAAACAAAAACCAGAACTAAATGCAAGTG